TATTGTTGGATGTGGGCAGTGCGGATGAAAAAATTTCCACTCCGTGAGCCCGACCCATTCCTCACGTCGCGGCGAAATACTCTATGGCGTTCCTGGGAAAACGTATTCCGCAAATAACGAAACAGGCATTGATCCTAGTCGGGAAGTTTCCGCCGTTCTTTCACCACCCGGTAGTACCGAAATCCTCTCACGGAGAGAAACACGGGAGAAGGCTATATGGATCTATTATTGTATCTAGGGCACGTCGTCGCGTGCGACAGCTTTGTACGATTTACTTTGTTCTAGTCTGCTCTGGCCGGTTCTCGTCAGTCACAACGAGATGGATCCTGATGATATATGTATATCCTAGCCTGGAAGCTCTTTTTGATGGTCTATGAAAGCATCGAAACTCATTCGATTAGCTACGAGTGTAACTGGAAATCGTTCACTAAGAATAAATCGTTTCCTGACTGCGTTTAATGCCACCCACACGAGAAATATCCTACCAAATTTCGGGTCTGCTGTAGTCCGATAGCTTTATTTCTTATGTTATGTTGTGTTATTTATATATGTTCTTGAACACACTCTGAAAGAATCCCTTCAGACCTTAACCTTGCCTACTAGGGGAAGACGAATATTTATTTATTCCACATATCAGCATAACTTTTAAAATACATTTCCTTTTCTTGTTCCAAAGTAAACAGCAACTTCCTTCCGTCTACAGCACGTACGTCAGTGACGCTGTGGGACGATGACTTTGTGTTCTCTACAGAGATGGAGGCAACCGCCACTGGCTGCACTGTGACCACGTTCAAAAACTTAGGTTGCACTGATTTCCTCAACGACGGATGGGAGATGGCCATTAATGTAACGGAGGCGAATATCTGAAACTATTCATGGAATAGGCTGTTCTCGTTCTCTTGGCTTGGGCGAAATCCCCACCTTTGTGACCAAACTGGTAGGGGTTTCCCAGGTTTTCCTGCTGAATGAGGCTGGGATACGTCCCCAATATCGAAATACTTACCTCTGTAACCATGAGAATTGTGAAAAGAGAAAGCAGTATCTCCCGTACAATATCGTCTTCGTAGTGAAGAACGAACATAACGACATAGTAGTAGAGATTTTCGGCGACGAAAAAGCACACATAGAGCACCATCAACTTGTTGAGCAATCGGGCAGCTCTCATATTCTCGGCAGTTTGATATCGGACCTGAAAGAAGACGAAAGTTTAGAACTGTAACTGAAATCTGATGCTAACTGATTGATTCCCTCTCACCGAAACAGTCGATCCTCTTCGTAGATGGACTTTATATACTCTGCGACTTACTATAGGTAATATGCTGAATAGCTGAAATAGTCTCGTGATATTCAGGGAAAGTACTGTAGCGTATACCAATGAATATTGGGTTCATATAATTCTATCAAACAGCTATGAAACCAGTAGACCACTTGGTAACTAGGTCTGAGAAAGATTACTCACAACAATGGCAGCTGCACAGATGATCCCAAATACGAGAACGCCATCCAGATCAGATATCAGACCAATGGTGTTGAGATAGATTAGAAAAGAAACCACGCCCATCTATAAAGTTCTCCATATTTCAAAAAGAAGATAGTCTGACAGATCTCCTAGAACATCACTTTCTTATAGAACGGTCTCTTATTAATGGGATCCACCCCGCCACGGCGGTATCCCACTCAGAACGAGTAAGACCTACCAATACTGACCACCCTACAGTTTCAGGGGATTTCAATTAAACGACTTTCGATCTTACTAGGAGTTTGTGTATACTCGCCTGATTAGACTGCCTTCGAATGAAATTTTCGTCTTGCTTACACTGGGTAAACCCTGCCCGTTACAGTACATTTCCCACTTTGGGCAACTCTACTCTATCAGCCGGCTTTTTTCCTGAATCGTTCCGGTCTATTTAATAAATGAACGAGCAAGTGAACACAGAAACTCTCCAATCTAACATATTACAAACTTAATATTAAAAAGGATCGAATTAAATTTGGAATATAATAGCTATAGGCCTGCCTTTGAGAGACCACAAAAGGGCTCATTCCTCTTCGAGGATCGGTTAAAAGCAACGTACCTGAACAAGTATCAGAGCTGATGATAGAAAGGGAAAGCTGACATTGCATTTTTCATATTTGTCCACAAGTAGTGTGGCTGCCAATCGTTCAACTATGAAATTTGGCAGATTCAGCGCTCCACCAAACATTCCTCAACCAAAGATACGGTATTATGGTTGAATATTGGTCGAGGAAGAAAGACCTCTTGACACATTACTTAGCACTTTTTATAGACCACCTAATACTGTTACCTAATACCTATCCCCTACTAGTTGAAAATTAAAAAAAGAAATATAATATTCCAGAGGGTTAGCCTGATAATTCCTTTCTTTCACCTACTTATTTCAGAAAATAATATTAGAACGGACAAGGTTTCCAAAATAAAAAGAAACTAATCTAATGAGCGTAGATGCTGTTGGACAGAATCAATGTATTGCTCGCCACTGACCAGATTTCATGGCGAATTCTATAATGTCCACGATAGGGCTCACTAGAAGATCCAAAGCACCTAGAACGTCCAGTACTAAGGTCATGACGACAGCAATCAAAGACGAAACTGGTAGAGCCATCAGAAGTACCACCAGATTTGAGTGATATACCTAGATTTCGTGGAGATTAGCGGTTTAATCTATGTAAATAGTTTACTGTAAGCACTGGAGAAATAGCCGCCTGCATAGGGTCTTTTTCTGAGACAAAACTGGAAAAACTAACTTGTTTTCGCCAAAGCAGAGCCACTATGTAAATATACAGTATAAAAACTAGGGTAGTTGCTATATTCTGTAGGCACTTGAGAGCTATGTAGATGGCGAATAATGACGAAGACTCCGTGCTGTTTCCAGTGGATAATCGCATCTGCAAATTGGAAGTATATCAACGCAAAATCGATCAATTGAGCGCTATCGATCGATTTCGACGAATGCGCGATATCTCATTTGAGGACTGAGCTTACACAATAGACTACCCAACATCACCAATATGATGAAGGGCAGTGAGAATTCTTTTGGAACCTAATGGGTCAGTCGACCATCACGAACCTATGAATAAGTCATAAAAATTGGAAACGTTATAAATTACTGGCGACTCGGTGATTACACATTATTCCCTCTGTGTCATTTACTTAGCGATCATACGATCAGAATTGCACCAGGTGGCATTTTAATCACACACGGGAACACTAAAGCACTATAATGATCTGAAAGTCAAAAAACTTGGTCTTGGCTACCCAGTATCCGTTTTAGAGGACAAGTTTTGCACGAGAGTTATTCGAACTCTCCGTTTCTTCGAATAGTGTCACCCACTACCGGACGTGGGTGGCCATGGCAGAACTGGTGTAGGGGTTGGGAAATACCTTCAGATCTTACGGCAATCAACATCAATATCAATGGTAACACAGCAACTAAAATTTGGAAATTTGGATATAAATCTTAACAAATCCCAGTGCGAGTCAGACGCCTGAACGCTCGCAAAGTCGCCATACCCAAGGAAAGGGGCTGGAATGGCATCTATGTTCCACGGGTACTTCGCCAGCCAGATATGATAAAGCTCCTACATTCCCTATCATGAAAATTTCCCAAAAATAATCATTTTAGCAAACACTGCCCATTTTCTCAGCTTCTGGAAAAGCGGAGCTTCTGAACAACATCCAGCCCAACCTCAAAACACAAAACTTCAACCCTCAAAAGCAGCACATAGAAAAAAATTTATGATGGACTTGAGAGTAGTTCAAGTAAGGGTTAGATCTATGAAAGGCAGGTAGGTAAAAGCCGACCACGTTAATAGTAATTAGTCCAATACACTTCGTGGCAGCTAGTAGGTTGCTAATGGTCGTAACGCTACTGCCGTTATGGAGCGCANAATGCTGTAAGGAGATGGTTTATGCAGAAACGTTCCTGTCCTGTTGTGTTCTTCATACATGGCGGTAGTTTGAATTACGATTCTGCTGTGATGTTTGACGATCAATACATAACGGATCGNATGGACTTGAGAGTAGTTCAAGTAAGGGTTAGATCTATGAAAGGCAGGTAGGTAAAAGCCGACCACGTTAATAGTAATTAGTCCAATACACTTCGTGGCAGCTAGTAGGTTGCTAATGGTCGTAACGCTACTGCCGTTATGGAGCGCATTTGTTTACGAGAGGTTAAAGATTCAGGTATTGATAAACAATTACAAGGACTGATAATTCCTTTTTTGCAGATTGATCGGATGTTTTGATTGCAAAAAGAGGATTTTCAGGCGGAAACACTAATATCCTGTTGGTCAGAACGATTGCGGGCTATTTTTGGATAACTGGTGGACAGGTGGATTTGTACGAAATCATTTACGAATTCATCGTCATCAGTGTTCTCAATGTGATCACGAATAATCGATGAAAATTAATTTATCATGAGCGAAAAAACTTCTTATTCAAAAAATCTGCTGATCACAGCTTACTGTCCTCGAGCGACACTGCCCTTCAGTAACGACGGAATAGTGGATTCCTAGTGTCTCTCATGATGGTATCCTTCAAAAGAGTATACTAAATGACAAAAACGTAATTTCCTGTGGCTCAGCTTCCCCTCTGCTGACACTCTTTTATATTGAAAATTCCCAGTGGTGTCTCTTAGGGGTACAGGGTTTTAAGGGCTCCGCGATGGAGTAGTGATACAGGACAGAAAAATTTCATCTTAGGCACTGTGTGTCATGTTTATGTTGTCGTTGTTGTTTGTGTTGTTCTGTTTATATTTGTTGATTACTTTGCTATCAGTTCGGGCTCTCTTTCTTCAGAAAACCCAACCCCAGATAGCCACACTTGCTGTGGAAGTTTCAAAGATCTCCAGGAACCGCTCGCCCCCATGTGATGTCCTGAGCTGTGGTGTGCTTCGATGACAGACATGGGAAGCGGTCCTTATCACTTGTCGATTACTTCCCAGCAGAGGGTCGTCCGACCCTCCGATGCACTGCGAAGTGTTTATTTTAATTTCTCTTTTACCATTTGCTGATTCATGGACAGTCAAGACCTCGTATGGGTTCCTGAAGGGAATGCCAATTGTTTCAAGCGATGGCCAAGCATGCCGGATTTTTAAGGTATTTCTAAGTTGCTATTGTTTTAATGTGAAATTTAGCACTGGTTTTTGAATTTATATCGTCTCATTCGAGTTGATATTGAACGTTTTCATTGATTACTACTATACTGATACTGCATACCGGGCCTAAATGGTTATGTAACCATTTCTTTGCGCGTACAAATGCATAACGTACGTATTGATCGATAGAAATCAAAGCGTAAACGAAACTTCAACAGCCGCAACGTTACAAAGTACATCGTGCTAAGGAGCTGTTTCTGGACTGATCGATTTCTTACAGTATGCTACAAGTTGCATGTAAATCGGCAACCGAATCGACATCGTCTCTATTCGTAACTGAAGATAGAAAGAATACAGTATGATGAATATCTAAATTGCTGAATTAAATCTTAGAAATCTGCTCAAGTTATATGTAATGTTGACAACCTGCAACCTGACAAAAATTTAATTTCAAAGCGTCTGAATGTGTTATATAATTAGGTTTTGATGTTTCCTAAAAAAAACAAGCAAGGCTTCAGTGCTTTTGGTGGCTTTACTTCGTGTCTATAGAAAATGTTGTGAAAACAGCCCTCGTTCAGGGTATACCCATAGCTAAACCACCTGTTGGTGAACGTCGGTTCAAGTTACCGGAACGGCCGGAGAGATGGCAAGGAATCAGAGATGCTTCTCGTTATAGGTGAGACTTCAAGGGTTTCAATTTTTTCTCTTTTTTACTTTAGTTCTACTAGTTCTACTTCACTTTTAGTCTACAAGTTACACGAATCGGCTTTTTTTTTGGAAGTATGAGCTTGATGTTTCAAGCTTTTCCTCGAGTTTTCGTGGGTTAGCATCGTAAATGGAAAGGTCAAAAGAATCCCATCACGACTTCCATGTTCACCCACCTCTCCTTTTTGAATTCCGAGACTTCAAAGAGCCCCGAAATCAAGGGAAATTTAAAGCTTGTAAAAGTTGATGGCGCACCCCTGCACTACATTTTGAATTTTTTAGTGCCGCTTGTATGAGCAACTCGTCTGTGAGCAGATCACCACAAAAAATAATAAGTGAGGATTGTCTTTACATGAACATATTCGTCTCTGAGAACTGCTTAAAAAAGGTTGATCACAAAAGGTTTTTTTGATAGTTTGTTTTGAATGCTGTAAGGAGATGGTTTATGCAGAAACGTTCCTGCCCCGTTGTGTTCTTCATACATGGTGGTAGTTTGAATTACGACTCTGCTGTGATGTTTGACGATCAATACATAACGGATCGATATTCATCGAAAGGTTGGTTACCGTAACTGATCAATTAACCAGAGATCCTTTGGTACCTCACTCAAAACTTCGTTTTAGACGTAGTTTTCGTCATATCCGCTTATCGACTTGGATTTTTTGGTGTTTCTGAATTCGCCGACGACAAAATAGTTCCTCGAAATTTGGCACTTTACGGTACGTCAATTTTACTCAAGTTGTACTGAAACTTTCACTTTCCCGAATTCACCAACCAATGAGGATCCCCAACGATCGTGGGAGGTCCTTGTTACTTGAATGAATGGGTGAACCGCAAGGTTCTGCTTTTTTTCTTGGGATAAGCCATGTATGCTGCTTTTTTGTAAAGCTGACTTATTCCGGGTTCAAATCTATGTAAAATGCCATTTGAGAAGCTATTCTACAACCTTTCGTTAAGGATAGTGTTGGGTGAAGTGACTGCTCCTGCGACGGAGAACGAAGAAGCGTCCCTACGACTTAGAATTTATTTATTCAATTTGCTCCCAATTTTGGTAGCTTAGGTCAACTAGTCTTTACTCTACTCTACCCCATTCAACTATGCCATTTCATTCTTGTCTTAATAGAACTAGACATAATTCTCTACAGATATATTAACTGGCTTGGAAATGGTTCACTATGAAGTGGAAGCATTCGGTGGAGATCCGAAAAGAGTTACACTCATGGGCCATTCCCAAGGTGCAAGTGTGGCTGTGGTGTTCGCAGTGTCCAGGTTGTTCATAATATTCTTTTGAAATTTA